CAGGAGTAGCTGAACAAACAGCATCAAACCGGCAGCAGCGGAAACCAGAACATGGAACAAAAGAGTGAAAAAACAATGGAGGGGATGGAGAGGCAAGAGAATGGCGGGTAAATTCTAAAGAGAGCAGTCAAAACCAAAAAGAAAGAGAAAGAAATAAAAGAATTTAAAGCGAGTATCACAAAAAAGTAGGGCATAAATCATATGTGGGTGGAAAAGAAACGAAATAAAAAGATGGTAATAATGAGAAGGGAGTGTGTGCGGATGAAATGCATGTTAATGCCGTTACTGACCTCTGCGGTAAAACCCAACGGAAATCGAGGCCCTGTCTGAATGCCGTCAGGCTCTTTGAGGTCATGTGTGTGCACATGTCGGGGTGTGATTGTATTGCAGTTGCAAACCAGATCTATCCCGTTTGTCTGGCTTTCTGATCAGGGTGATTGGTATGCAAATAATGTCTTTGGGTGTGTCCAAAACAACATATTTGTTTCCTGGAGGCAAAATATAAATAAGCAAAGTAAGCAGTATATTTTAAGTGGTAAGTGGACAATACCCCAGATACATTTAGCAAAATTCTGAAGTGTGCAACCGTTAGATGCTACGCTATCACACAAGGCCACTGGAGCTGCAACTGGAGACGAAGTCACATTCTCAAAAAAAGACAGGAAAACAGGAAGCAGTAAATAGCAGGTACGATGGAGAGATCGTTCATGCAAATTTTAAAAAATTCATGCAAAGAAGAATGAGTCTTCCTTCTGCAGGAAGACCCAGTTCACCAATGACCGACATGCCTGATCATGCTTGAGAACCAATCAACTGCATATAAACATGCCTTCTTTGACATAAACCCGGATGGGTAAAGAGAAACTAAAACGTCCTTGAACGATAAACTTTGCAGCAGTACATTACAGTTTATCTCAAAGTACATCTTGTATAGTATCAGGAATGGCTGACCATCGATGGCTTTCCATACTAAAAGAAGAGATTGGAAAAAGTCCACTGGCTTTAAACACAGTCATAGGTTTAGTCCTCTTGGGGCTGGAGAAGATGACAGAATTGGAATTTCAGTGTCCGTGCAATCCTTATAGGAATGCATGGTTTTCCTCAGCATTCTTTGTCATTCCAGCAATGATGTCTATTATTATGATGCTGATCGCAAATAATTTCAGATGTGCATCGGGAAAGTGTTTGGAACAGTGTGGCAAGCTGATGTCCTGCGTTACACCAGCAGTGGTGTGGCTGACCCTGCTGTTCTTTGATGGCAAATACTACACCTGTGCAGCTACAAGCTGGGAAGGAGAATATGTCAACGTGTACAGTGGTGCCCCTCTGAAATGGTGTAAACCTTTGCAAGTGAATGAAACTGAAATGGAGCAACGGAGGCTTCTGTTTAAAGATTCCCTGTTTTGGTCTCAGGTAGGAACTCTGAAATAAATTAATAACTAGATACAGAAATAAATAAAAAAAGATAAAATTGCCGAATTTTGAATCACATACTGCTGTTGTCCATTGCTGGATAATTACTGAATATAAGTATATCTCTTACTGTACATAGACATTGTTCAACTATTTTGTCAATTAAATCAACAATCATGCAACATATTCTTTTGCATTGACTTCTGAATACTTGTCTCTCATGTATTTTTTAGGTCGCAGGGCTTATACTGCTCGGTTTAATCTTTTTGGGACTTGGATTGTACCAGTTTTACCAATGCTGTAAAAAAGGATAGGGATTCCTCGATCCCGACCAACCAATGGGAGAATTACTTCCCTCGGAAGACTAGAATCCTGGCCAATAATGAGCCTCAGAGATTTCA